AGTTTGGTTTTGTGCTGGTGTGTTGTTAGCAATTTGTGGTTGTTGGATCATGGATGTTCCCTTGTTCTAGTAAAGGATAGGAACTTCCCTTTTCCTGCCATGTATTTTTGACAGTATTGAGCATGCGGCAAGCTCAGATTCCTATTAACTGTAAACCAATTTGAAAGACATGGTTCTTCCTTGCTATCTCCTAAAGTACAGTTGTGTCCTGCCTGCCATATTTAGACGCCTGAGCTTGTCAGTTTGACAAAATTGAAGATGTAGATGAGGGGAAAGCTTTAAATTGCATGGCTTTTAAAATGTCAGGAAGACTCAGAAATTATGAAAACAGACTGGTGGCAATTTCTAATTTTGGCTATGATCAATGGCCATTTTAAGGCAGAACGGTCTAAAAATTTCTTGTACAGTTTACTCATGACTGTGTGACTGACGGCTGCAACTATGCAGCTCTTGGTTTGATTAAGTAGAATTCTTTGTTTTATGTGATTTCATAAACCAATGCGACAATTCTTCATGAATTACTGAAAATTGTGTCACTTTCATTTGCGACGACAGCTGGTTATGTTATTTCTTGCTGACACTCAAGTATTGGTACAGGTTTCTTACATGATATTGCAGAGGGTATCTCCTGTTACTCATTCTGTGGGTAACTGTGTGAAGCGAGTGGTGGTTATTGTGACTTCCGTGCTCTTCTTCCGCACACCTGTTTCTCCCATTAACGGTTTGGGTATGACACCTTACACTTTATACTTGTCATCATATAGCTGATTGAGAAGGAAACCCCTTTTCCTATTCCAATCCTTCCAGATGGCAGCTCGAGTGAACAAATGTGGAATACAAAAAGTTAGAAGTTACCTTTTTTATTTACAATAAGGTAATCATTTTCCTCTTCATTTTCTATGTAGGCACTGGAGTGGCCCTTGCTGGAGTTTTCCTATATTCAAGGGTGAAGCGCATTAAACCCAAGGCAAAAACGGAATGAAGCCTAGATCAATTTTGATGGTAAATTGTGATCATTAGATGGATGAACCAAAACTTGGTTGTATTCTAGGCAGGGGCTTCTTTTAGTTTGTTGTGCCATGTGGGACGAGTTATTCTTTTCTGATGCAGCCTTAACTAATTGCTGCTATTTTGACGGATACTGCATCACTATTGTCTTTCTTCTGTAGGGTGTTGTATGTTTTGTGTACGGCATGTTTAGGACCCAAGTAGCTTCAGCGAGCGCTGAAAACATCAAAGAGTTGGGAGAGTTTGTCATAGTTGATTACATCATACCATTGCATTCAAAATATTTTTCTCCCTCGAAGGGGTCTCTTTAAGTGGATACCGGAAACCTACATTCCCTTGCGATTAGTATGTGTTATTTTGTAGAAGAGCTGAAATTATAATGCATCAATTTATCCATTACCTTAAGAACGCTGGAAAACTCCCTTGTCAAAATAGTAAATAAATAAATGTAGAGGAAAAGGGGAGGGAAGTCGAAGGTTCTACCAATACTGTGCTGGGTCCATGAATGAAATCACTAGGGGTCCAATTAGATTTTGTACAACTTGGCCAGTCAATTGATTCAAAATGATCGAGAACGAAATGATTCACTTTGCCCAATGGCCCATATACCATTTCAATATATTCCAGATCAGTCCAACACATAGGGTTGTTAATGTCAGATATAGGGGTGTTCATAAAAACCCGAACCAAACCGACCAAAAAAACCGATACTTTTTAGGTTTGGTTTGGTTTTGGTTTTGAAATTTAAAAACCGATCAAATTTGGTTTGGTTTTGGTTGTAATAAAAAAATAACCGAACCAAACCGACTATAAAAGTAGTTATTTAAATTTATTATTACACCTATATATATGTATATTTTTATATAAAGTTTCTAAAATTTTATAGTACATATTAGTCATTTGTATTTTTGGTCTAGTTCTTTGCTATTATAATAATCTAATTTTTTGCCTTTATATTCTAGTTTGATTGGTAGTTTTCTTTTTGCTAAATACAAGAACTTATTTCATGTTAAAAATAATCGATTTTGAATTGAGTACTTAAATTTCATCACTATTTGATTCAATTATCATCAATATATTTTGGTAAATGATAGATTTCTCAAAGAGCAATTGATTTGATAGTGTTACGTCGAAAATGTAGTCGCCGGAATATGTGTTTGGTAGTATATGTCTCATATTTAAGAAAATAACCGATAAATAACCGAAAAACCGAATCGATAAAAACCCGACTTAATTAGTTTGGTTTGGTTCCAATATTTGAAAAATCGACTTACTTGGTTTGGTTTCTTTTTAGGGAAAAACCGACCCAAACCGAACCACGAACACCCTTAGTCGGATACAACAAAGCAGTGGCTCTAATTGAAGGGGTCTACAATGCTATTAGGGGTCGTTTGGTAGAGTGTATAAGAATATAAGAATAATGTTGAATATGGTGTATTAGTAATGCTGGTATTAGTTATGCTGGCATAAGTTATGCTTACATATTTCTTTTTCATTGTTTGGTTTGATGTATTAAAGCATTGCACAATTTCTAAAAGAATTGTTTGTTTAACAAAAATACCCTCATAACCAATCCATCACCTTATCTTTTTAAAACAAACATATGTTGAGGAATGTTTTTATACGAAAAAGGTTTTAAAAAATATTTGATTTGTCTACCTATATTGTAGTATAGAACTTAATATTTATTTATAAAAAAGAAAACATGCTAGATATTTATTTATTTACTAGGGATATAATTTTATCATTTTCTTGGATTATTTCAAACTTGCATTAATATAATATTTAATCAAGCATAAATTTTGAAGGATAATTTTGTGTTTAACTAAGTTAATGCATGCTTTAAAACTCATTGCATTGTTAATGTCATGGTTTCTTATGCATTAGTTATGCATAAGATAATACCAAATAGTGTGTATAACTAATGCTTGCATAACTAATGCATAGATTCAAAAAATATACCAAACAAAGTATTACTAATACACGAAGTTAATGCATGCATTATTTTGCCTAAAGTTTCCTACCAAACGACCCCCACGAGGTATAAGAAGGTATAGTGCTGGTATAAAAATTTAATACCGCCTTAACACTTTGTTTGGTTAGCAAATCAGGTATAAGTTATCCCGGGATTAAAATAAACACCGGGATAACTTATACCTTATAGAGGGTGGGGTAACTAGCACCGGGATAACTTATATCTTCTTTTTAGAAATTATGCAATTATCATTTTTAATAAAACATACCAAACAGTGGATAAAAATAATCTCAGCATAACTTATCCCGGCATAAGCTGTATTCAAAGCAAACGACCCCTTAGAGTTATGGGAATAACCAATGGATAACTGCCATAGCTGCCAAAAAATCAAAGTTCCGGCACATCACTTTTCACCAATAATGAACCCACCAATGTTCGATCATCAATCCAAATAGATTCAAATGTTTTCTTAAACACTTTTTTGTGACCTAAATACCTCCTCCTTCAATCTTCCAACCATGTAGAAAAATGCAGATACTGTATTTTGTAAACAAATAAAAAAAGAAATTCAACTTTTGCAAACTCTAATTTGTCTGCTGATTTTACCAAAAAAAAAAAAGTTTTACCTCTTCAAATACTAGTTTGCAAAAATTGATCTTCTTTAAACCAGGGCTTTGAATTTTCAAAGCCAACGCCACCTAAAAAGTGTTGGAAAATTTGGTAGATATTGGATTATGGTTTATGGAGAATAAGATTTAGTTTGAGGCGTGTCAAAGACACTGTCCTTAAGGATATTGCGCCCACACTGTGATAAATAAAATTAGGCGTATCCCTCAGGATTCAACAAGCTCTTCTAGTATGAATTAGGAGCAGAAACAACAAAGATTGAATAAAAGAAAACCCAGCACAAAAGAAAGAACAAGAAAGCCTTTTACTTTTTGTCACCCTTTTTTCCACCCATCAAAATGATCACAGAGGAATATTCATATATAGTCCAAAACTAATACGAACATCTGATTTTCAAGAATAAAACATAGTTCAAAACTAATATGGATATCTGATTTTCAAGAATAAAGTATTGCATATTGAAGTTGATGCCAAAAACGTTTTCAAAGTTAAGAAACAGACGTTACATAACTTTAAATACATTAAGCTAAAAACGTTATCAAACAATAAATTTTTTACCATCAAAAGTCAAAGTATTTTTGATAGCCATAATGATAGCCATTTAAGGTTAGTAAAATTATTTTATTCAAAATTAAACTAATTTTCAGTTATAAATATATTTAAAATAATTATTATAATAAAGGCTCATTAACATAATCAAAAGAATGAACCTAGACATCAATTTGAATATTTCTTCTGAATTATCAAATTATTTTTCCTAACAAAAAGTTTATAAAAGAAAAAGAGTGTAATCACCTAAAATGACCTTAATAGCTTCTATTCTTGGGTAGTGTACTGCGTTTTTTTTTTTTGGCTAATGGTGTACTGCTGAGTTCATCAAGTGAACATTGAATACACCTGGGTGGTGACAGCTAAGTACATTTCCACATTAAAGTTCCTATAATAATTTCTGTACATTTTCCAACACCTCCAAAGAAATGTACTTTTTCCTTCTTTGGGTGATTAGCTAACAAAATCTATAAAGAGTAATCTAATATTGGTATTTTCCGTTAAAGATCCGATATTTCAGCAAAAGACTGGTCAATCTCATATCATTTTGGATGGAAAAAAAAATCTTATATCTGTGTTGCATTAGGCTTTAATTAAACATAGATTATGACAAATGTAAAGTATATTTACTCAAAATTAACACTTTTTCGTCCATTAAATAAAACTCAACTGAATTTTCTCAATTGGAACCTGCATAAACATTTAACCATTATATCCTGTCCAAGAATTGGTTGGCTTGATTCCATATTTTTACACATCTACAAAAGCAAAAAGATCTCAACTTTTTTTCTCTAATCAGTGTAAACTACAATGCAAAAACTTGCATTTTTTTTTACACAAATTATAAACATACTCATCTAGCAATTAATAAATAAAACGGAGCTCTTTACAGATTACAACAACATAAATTAAGATTAAAAAAGAAAAGAAAAGGAAAAGGCCAAAAAATCGGTACTGCCTGACCTAAATCATTTCCATAAAGACAAAATCAACACGTTAGCAGGAATAATTGCTTCTTTCTAGTACCATCCAAAATTAAATTTGCCGTGTGAAAAATGGAAATAGCAGGAAAAAATAATTACACGATTTGAGAATTAATTAATTACCAGTAGATAGAATCCTATGTACCATAAACCCAAAAATATTCTCACTACACTTTTCCTGTTCGCCGCCGCCGACGTACCTTTATTCCCTAATCCCGGCGGTGAAGACAAGTGGCTAGCTGAACCGTCAATATCCGGCGAATTATCCGGCGGAAGAGAAATCTCTGGCGGCCCAGCTAATCCACCACTTGGCTTATTCACCTCAATTGGATTCTTACCAAAAAATTCTCTGGGCAACAAAACCGTGGACACTCCAAATATCGCCACCGGATTCTGATCGAACACTGTTCGAGTCACCGACGCCTGAACGATCCCGGTATCTATAGCTACCGACCCATTAACCCTAGAAATATTAAGCGTAAAGCTTCCAGCTCCATTTTGCTCCGTCGCTAACGTTGGTTGAACCGGGTTCACTATCGACTGCAGTGAACCGAGCGGGTAATATGAGTGCAAAACGTGGAACCTTAACACGTCAGCTTTTTTCTCCGCCGGCAGAGATTGGAATCTTACTGATGACCTCAGATCCGAAAATGCTTGGTCTGTCGGTACAAACAGCGTTATTCCTGCACCACCTTCGTCATCCTCAAACTCTTGTTCTACTCCTGATGCCGTCAGCATTGACGCTGCGACGTTAAAGTTGTGACCGTCGATTAGTGTCTTTGTTATATTGAGCCCTAAAGGGGGACGAGTTTCAGATGCCATTAGATTAAATCCATTTGGAACTAAAACAGAATCAACGGTGAAGATGGAGATGTTATAAGGAAGGGTTTTTATGAGAGAGATAATAGTAGCGTTTGAGTTTGATGAATGGATAGTGATGGCATTTGAAGTCGGGTCACGGGTTATGTTAACGGACCCGAAGTTGTTCGGAGCACGTCCTGTGGTTTGAAAGAGAGTGGTGATTAGTTTCCCGGTTGGGGGGATAAGGCGGAGATCCGGCCAAGAGAAGTACTCCAGAAGTACGTGGTAACGGAGAACATCGGCGAAGTTGGCGGAGGACGACGACGGAGGACGGTTGTTTATCAGATCGGAGGAGCGGAGGAAGGTGTTGGGGACGGCGAGGATGGTGACGGAGGAGCGCTGTGCTAGATCGGCGGCGACGGAGGTGGTGGAAAGGAGATTAGTGAAGTCGGAGAGATCAGGGTATGAAGTTAGGAGATGGGTAATGTTAATGGCTAAAATGGGAAAGTGGGAAGTGGACAAGAGAAGGAAATAGAGAAGGGTGGTAGGGGTAAAATAGGAAATAGAAATTGTGGTTGCCATTCTTCTGAAGATTGAAGCAGAGAGGGATGAAAGTGAGAGAAGCTGAGGGACTGAACAGAGATTGCCCACCTTGGCTTCCAACCACCCCACCCCTCCCCCCTTCTACCCCGTCCTTGGGGGTTGATGTGATGATGATTGTGTTGCAAATTATTATATTCATATATTCTAACGTTTAACAGGGTTTTTAAGTATGGGTGTCAATGATCGGTTCGACCGTTATCTTATAAAATTTTTACCATATCAATTTCTCGGTTATTCATTTTGGATAACTAGAATTATACTTTTCGATACCATTTCCATCATTTTAGTTTCTCTTCAGTATTGGTCCGATTCGATTAATTTTTCGGTATTTCTTAAAAATATCATGCAAGAGCTGTACTCGAAGTCAGAATGCAACAAATGTGTACGTGTACTTGCATAGGCCTTTGGCAGAACTATCTAAATATTTTTTCACTATTTTAAAATTGAGGATTAAAAGAACATGAAAGATGTCCAAAATAGAGATTCATCCACTATTTTATGGTGGTGTAAAATAAATTAAGCAAAAACAATAAAAGTAAATCATACGAATACTAATCAAGTTGGGACTCAAGAATAGAGCTTATTAGAAGATTATTATCCAACAAGAGAAATCTAAATCATACGAGAGGAAAGATATCCAACACCTTGTGGCTTGCTATTGAAGATCGCTGGAATACCTAGTGGCTTGCTGCTCAAGATGTTAGAACTAATTTAGTTTCGATATAAGTTGGAAAATATGTTTGGAAGTTGGGACTTTGGATATTAATTTGGTCACTTGTAGCCATTTCTATAATCCCAAGATCCAAGAAAAAAACTCAATGCTTTGTTAGTTTTAAACTTAGTATATAAAATACATTTTCATTTATAAATTTATTCGGTACGGTTCGGTATTTTTTCTGTTTATTTTTATAAAATTAAAAACCTACCCTATTATCCGGTACGATTATAAGTTTCTATAAAAACCTACGATTGTATTAAAAGAAACCTAATAATCGATTTGGTACGATTCGGTTGATCCAGTCAATTTAATCGATTTTTAAGGATTCATTGACACCTCTATTTTTAAGTATGATAATTTAGAGGCGGTTTGGTTCGAAGAATAATTATACAAGAAGTAAAATGTCGTAATTATTTATGTGAAAATAATGTATGAATTAATTAGCTTGTTAATTTTGTTTTTATTAATTATACTTATTTTATATTTTATCATACATAAGAATTAAGATAACCTATAGATTTTCACATAAACTATGCGAGTATTTGATTTCTGGAGTTTATAAGTACAATCCAATGTTGTGTTAATTTGTGCGGTGATTATTTATCTTATACAACTGACTTAATATAAACTAATTATAGAAGATTGTGTGTTGATTTTGGCAGGTTGAATCTTCCAACTCAACTTATGGACAAAGTGCATTTCTAAAGATTTACTACTAGTATTAAAAAAGCTAATCCACGAATTATAATTCATTTTTTCCAAGAGATTGTTATTAAAGCTGTCTACTAGCTGTTATGCCATATGAGAGCTTGCCTTTATGTCCGATTAAGACAAAGTACACCCCCATCACACAAGTAAAAGTAAGGCAAATTTGCCTTGGCTTTATCCCCAAAATCCTTAATTAGGAGTTAAGTAATTTCTCCATTTTAATTTAAATGATATATTTCACGAGATCAAATAATATGAAATTTAACCAATATCTTAAAATATATTTTTAATCATATTCAATGGGAGTTTTTTTTAATTATATTTACCGTTTAATTTTGAATATCTAAATTTAATTTTAAAATATTTAGTTAAATTAATCAATTTAGCTATAAAGTTTAAAATATTTTGAATATATTTTATATAGGTGTTGTTGCTTGCTGTTACTCCTTCCTCTCTATCTTTCTTGAGCCGAGGGTTTTCCGGAAACAACCTCTTTACCTTTTTAGGTAGGGGTAAGGTCTGCATGCACTCTATCCTCCTCATACTCCACTAGTGAAATTACTCTGGGTTTGTTGTCAAGGCCGGATCTGTGATGACTCGATAGGTCATCTTATGTTTTAGAAACCAGTTCTGTGCTTTGAAGCCTTAAATACCCCAATTTAGCCTTCATCGATTTCGTGCGCAATCCGGACATATTTCCGAAAAGCTTTTATGTTAAAAACTGAGGAAATATAAAACTTTTGCCTTAAAATCCATTTGAGTTGACTTCGGTCGACGTTTTGAGCAAACGGACCCGAATTCGTATTTTGACGGTCCCGGTGGGTCTGTATTGTGATTTGGGACTTGGGCGTATGCCCGGAATCGAATTCGGAAGTCCCTAGCCCGAGTTATCGGACTTTGTTGAATTTTGAAAGTTAAAGGCTTAATGAATTTGAAATGTTCGATCAATGGTTGACTTTTGGATATCGGATCCGTGTTTTGGTTTCGAAACCTGGTATAGGTCCAATACCATATTTATGACTTTCCTGTCGAATTTGGTGAGAAACAGAGTTGGTTTGACGTGGTTCGGACGTCCGGTTGTGAAAATAGAAGTTTCAAGTTTTCTTGAAAATTTCATTCGATTTGGTGTTCAACTCGTAGTTCTAGGTGTTATTTTGGCGATTTGATCGCGCGAGCAAGTTCGTATGATGTTTCTTGACTTGTGTGCGTGTTTGGTTTGGAGCACCGAGGGTTCGGGTGAGTTTCGGATAGGCTACAGAGTGAAATTTAGACTTAGAACATTGTTGGTGTGCTTCAGTTTTGTTGCAGGCCTCAGACCTCGCAATTGCGAGGTAAGGCTTCACATTTGCGGCCATTGGTGGATTTGCATTTGCGAAGAGTGGCTGGGGAGGCCAGAGTTCACATTTGCGAACATTTCATCACATTTGCGATGGAAGCAGAAATGTGGAGATCTTCGCATTTGCGAACCCCAGGTCGCAAATGCGACATCTGCAACTGATCAAAATGGGAGTAAAACGGGATTTTTGGTTCATTTCGAATTTTCAAACTTAAAAACCCTAGAGGCAATTTTTCAAAGAACTCTTCTTCCCCAAATCATTAGTAAGTGGTTCTAAATTAGTTTCTTTCAATCTTTCACTACTTTTCCTAAGATTTCAATCTAAAATCTAGTGCGTTCATGGTGGAAATTGGGGGTTTGGGTAGTTAGGGATTTTTGTAAAATGTCAGTTTAGACCTCAAATTGAGGCCGGATTCCAAAATAAATTATATAACCGGGCTCGGGGGTAATCGGATTTTGGTCCGAATTTTGGGTTTGGACCAAGCGGGCCCGAGGTCGATTTTTGACTTTTTGGGAGAAAGTTTGGAAATTCTAAATTTATGCATTGTAATTATTTCCTTTAGCAATATTTGAAATTATTGAGTCAATTGTGGTTAGGTACGAGTGGTTTGGAGGCGGATTCTAGGGGAAAAGCCCCGGTAGATCTTTGAATTGATTGCAGAGTGAGGTAAGTGTCGTGGTTAACCTTGACTTGAGGGAATTAGGAACCCTCGGACTATGTGCTATGTGAATTTCATATGAGCGGCATATATGCGAGGTGACGAGTGCTTATATGGCGCCGAATTATCTATTTTACCTGATTTTCCGCTATTCCTTAATTGTCTCTTTCCCTGTCTTAGCTGTTATATGCTCTAAATGCTTTCCATGCTTAACTGGTACCTGTTAATCAATGTCTTCTCATGTTAATGATGTTAGACCTTTTCATAGTTTCATGATTTCTTGCTATTTGACTAAATTGACCCACTAGCACCTTCTAATTGTCAATTATTGGATTGGTCTCGCTGAGTAGTATTGCTTATGTAGATTCCTGTGTTGTACAGTTTTTTCTTTCTGGTTCATCTTGGTATTCATTGATCATAAAGGTTTTTTGTAGTTTGAATTGTTAATTTGACTGTGTACAATGAGTATTTGATACTGATATGGTAGGACCGGGTTGCACGCCGCAACAGGTGGAATAAGGGCGGAATGATGTGGTGGAATAAGGATGAACTTGTATTGATATAGTGGGATCGGGTTGCACGCCCCAACAGGTAGAATAAGGGTGGATTGATATGGTGAAATAAGGCTGAATTATGATACTGATATTGATATATTGTGGGATCGGGTTGTGCCCTGCAATATTTATATATTATCTCTGTTGTTGATGTCATTACGGTAAATAAGGGTGGATTCTGTATTGTACGGTGGGATCGGGTTGCGCGCCGCAACAACCTATGTGTTTCCATTTCTTGAGCTGTGTTGGTTTTCGGTATTATCATTTGAACTGTTAAGGATTGGTAATTCTGGACGACACTGGTTTATAACTTGAGGCTGTAGTTATTATTTGCAGTTGACTTTTCTTATCCTGTCCGTCTTTCCTTTTTCTGCCTTTATTATGTACTGCGTACAGATTGTAGTGTGAGCGACCCGCCTTAGCCTCGTCACTACTTCGTTGAGGTTAGGCTCAACACTTACAGAGTACATGGGGTTGGTTGTACTCGTACTACACTCTGCACTTCTTGTGCAAATTTTGGAGTCGGTCCCAGCGGCGGCTATTAGCGTGCTTGGATTGATCAGCTCAGCGGAGACTTGAGGTACAACTGCTCAGCGCCCGCAGCTCCTGGAGTCCCCTTCTTTATTTTTATTTAGCTGTGTATTTTCATTTAGATAGCTTTGTACTTATTTTAGACCTTGTATATATTAATCTAGTAACTCGTGCACTTGTGACACCAGGTTCAAGGATGTAATAGACGTTTGGCTATTTTAGCTTCCGCATTATTTACTTTGGATTATTGCACTTAAATCAGTTCTTCTTCATTATTTAATTTTAAACTGTTAAAAAAGATTAAATTGTTCTAATGTTAGCTTGCCTGGCAAGTGAAATTTTGAGGCGCCATCACGGTCCCAACGATGGGAATTCCGGGTCGTGACAAGTTGGTATCAGAGCAATAGGTTATATAGGTATCACGAGTCACGAGCATACTTAGTAGTGTCTGGAGGATCGGTACGGAGACGTCTGTACTTATCTTCTAGAGGCTATGGAGTTAGGAACAATTTCACTTCTATTCTTCTTTGTCGTGCGATTTTTATTCTATCATTGCTGATTGAACCCTTCTATTATGTTCTCTCGCATATGGCGAGGACACACACCGCATCATCAGCTGGACAGCAGCCAGAGCCCCTAGAAGCAGCTCCTATGAGGGGCAGGGGCCGAGGCTGAGGTCG